GCAGGGTAAACTCGCCCTGTGTTGCTTGTTAGAGGGACAACAACCACTCGTGCAACGTGTTTATTAGCAAGGTTGTTACTCACAATCACAGCAGGGCGTTTTTTTCTAATTTCTGAACCGACAGAAGGGTCAAACTCTACCCACCAAACTTCACCCCTCTGCATGAGCAATATCCTCGCTCAACGCATTACACCACTCTAGAGCTTCACTCTCTCTTTCTTCATCAGATGCCATTGCCATATAGCCTTCTTCTACACTACGCATTGAATTTTTTGCATAGTCAAAAGACAAGGGAACCGTTTTTGTTTCAGCTACTTGCTTTAAGAACAATTTAAATGCCAGTGCAGCACTGAGTCCGTAACCTTCCAATACTGGAAAGGCTTGATCTCTAAGTTCAGTATCAAGTCTGATATTAAAATTTGTCGTTGCCATAGGATTACCTATTTTACAATTAAATTACTTTTATAAAGCAAATGTACGCTTAATTATATAAATTGTCTAGCGCTCCATACCTCGACTTATCGTTTTTGTTTTTTCTATTTTTACGTGTTGAGCAAGGTATTGATTTGATCTCGTAATTGCTTGTTGAGATTGTTCAACACTGTATTGGCTCTGTTTAATTCCTCGTTCTGTTCGCTGTAAGCTTGATTCTGATTGGTCAAGGCTTCGATCTGCTCGCTCTGTTTTTGATTGATTTCTCTTAGCTCGTTCAAGTGCTGTTCTAACAAGTTCAAAGTGTCGTTGTAGTGATTCATGAAGTCGTTGTTCATCTGTTTGTCCTACTTCTCTAGTTTGAGTAGCATTTGGTCGTTGGTATTCTCGAATGCGTCCGCTTTCTTGCTGTTTCTCGCTATGATCAAGATAGATTTCTTGTCCTGTGTTTCTACTATTTTGACTTTGTGTAAAGCCTGTCTCTCTAAGGGGGTTTGTTCGATCTTGAGATTGATTTCGTATAGTTCCTGCTTCTTCTCTTTGATCTGATAGCCGAGCCATGCTGTTATCCCTAGAAAAATCAGGAATAGCGTCACCAGTACGCCCAAAACTACGCCCTTGAGTGTATTCAAATGCAAAGCTTTTTTGATGTTCGGCTGTTGGTCTTTGATGGTCTGTAGGTTTTCTTCTAAAGTGTTCTCGGTTTGCTTCAAACTTTTTTGTAGTAAGGCGTTGTAACTTGCCATGTGCTGTTTGGTAGCGTTCTCGGCTTGTATCTTGATATTCCTGTCCTGCTCGGCTGTGTTCTTGTGCAAATTGTTGATCAAATTGTCGATTTTCATAAATGATGCCTTCTAATCGTATGTTTCTTCTGCCGTCAGGGTTTTTAATGCTGATTGATCTGTCTGTTTGCCGTGCGATTTCAAAGCCTGCATGTTCTAGAGTATGAATAACGTCTTTTTGGTTTTGTATTGCGCCTGTGCTGATTTGCTCGGCTATGGCTGTGCCAATTTGCTGTTTTATGTCTTTGATGGTCTTAGGTAAATTTTGGCTATTTAGGGTCTTAATGGCTTGGGCTTTGTCAGGGGCGTGTGGGTCTGTCAGTCCATATTCATAGTTTACGGTTTGTTTCCAGTTCTCAACTAGTGGGCGGTCTGCTTGGTCATAATAGGGCTGTAATCGCTTGCCTGTGCTGAGTTCTACATTTGGTATGACAAAGTTGAGTTCTAAGCGGTCTTTATCGGTGTGTTCTACCCATGTGATGTCGTACTGGTCTTTGTCTAGCCCTACAAGGAGGTTTTCTTCAAAGCTTTGCATGATGTCTTGTTTTTGTTGGGTCGTTAGGTTTTTTTCTTCAAAGGAAAGTACGCCTACAGTATAGCGGTTGGTAAATTCAAGATTATCGGCAATGCGTTGGGTTAGTTCAGGGTCGCCACTAAGTAGATATGCTCCTTCCCGATCTCGATCTTTACCCAACAGGTAGTCAATTGTTGCTCCTGCACTACCACCGCCCCTATTGGCAAGAAATTTAACGATCATAGTTATCTAATATCCGTTGCAGTTGGTTTCTAATGCTTGCGAGTTCTGCAAATGCTCTGATTTTTTCAATATCTGATTGTAGTGTGTTTGCTTGTCGGGCAATTTGATTGAGGTTGCCACCAATTCGCCCGAGTCCTGCAAGGAGCTGTGGGTCTGCAACTTTGTATTTGCGTTGTTTATTGGGTTTTGTTTCTAAGCATGTGTTTCTAATCCATGTCGCCAGTTCCGCTCCTTCCATGCGTTCAAGGAGTGCCTGATGTTCTTCTTCGGTCAGGCGTATTTTGATTTCTTTCTGTCTTTTAATAACTGGTTTTTTCATAGCTAGCTTTTTTATGAGAGTAATTTATCAAATAATTGAATTAAGAATTTAGGCTATCGATTCTATGTTTAGCTTGGTTATTTCCTTGATCTGCGGCTTTTTGGTACCATTTTTTTGCAGTATAAATATCTTTAGATACACCTTCCCCAAACTCATATAAAAAACCTAAGTAGAATTGAGAAGTAGGGTTTCCTTGATCTGCGGCTTTCTGGTACCACATTGCAGCCTTAACATAATCTTGAGAGACTCCATAGCCACGAGAATATAGAACTCCCAAATTTAATTGTGCTTCACTATGTCCTTGATCTGCGGCTTTTTGGTACCACATTACAGCCTTAACATAATCCTGAGAAACTCCTTGATTATTGGCATAAAAGTAACCTAGCTTATATTGTGCTCCACTATCTCCTTGATCTGCGGCTTTTTGATACCACATTACAGCCTTAACATAATTTTGAGAGACTCCCTTACCAAATTCATATGCAAGAGCTAAGTTATATTGAGCATTCACATATCCTTGATTAGCTGACTTATCCCACCAAACAATTGCTGTGGTATTACTTTGAGTAACACCTATTCCATTTAAATAAAAAACCCCTAAATTATACTGAGCCTCACAAACCCCTTGATCTGCGGCTTTTTGATACCACATTGCAGCCTTAACATAATCTTGAGAGACTCCCTTACCAGATTCATATGCAAGAGCTAAGTTATATTGAGCAACACTATCTCCCATAGTTGCCAATTTTTTATAGTTTCTAATATTTCTAAATGCAAAAAAATTTCTTTTTAATAAATTTATTACTAAAA